AAAACCTGACTAAAATGCTCATACATTTCATTGAATAAACAAAAACAGGACACGTTTGTCTAAATATGATAACTAAAATGTACATTTGAGTAAGACTAAGACTAAATTAAAAATGGCTGCTAAAATTAATACTGCTGTACGGTTAATTAATAATAATCTTATTGCTAAAATGTCAAGTTTTCATTGACTAAAACTAGACTAAAATACTTCAGGTTTTCTTCGACTAAAACTAGACTAAAATACTTTAGATTTTCTTGGACTAAAACTAGACTAAAATGTTGAGACTTTTAGTTGACTAAAACTTGACTAAAACTAAATAGGATAAGGTTGACGAAATATGATAAAAACTAACAAGGACATTTTAACACTGGACTAAGACTAAAATTGAAAATAGCTGACAAAATTAACACTCTAAATATTTGGGGTTAGTAAGTTTTTTTTTAAAATAAATTATTTTATTCTGCAAGGATGAATTAAATTGATCAAAAGTGACAAGAAAGACTTTTATGTTGTTAAAAAAAATTCTAACATATTTTTCTTTTGAACTTTCTATTCATCAAAGAATCCTGGAAAAAAAAAAATGTAATGGTTTACACAAAACATATTTAGCTGCTGTTTTCCAATTATTTTCAACACTGATAATAATGAGAAATGTTTCTTCAGCAACAAATCAGCATACTAGAATGATTTCTGAAGGATCATGTGACACTGAAGACTAGAGTAATGATGCTAAAATTCAGCTTTGCATCACGGGAGTAAATAACATTTTAAAATATTAAAAGAGAAAACATTTGTTTTAAATTGTAATAATATATCACAATATTACTGTTTTTACTGTATTCCTGATCAAATAAATAAAAAGTCTTCTTTCAAAAACTTAAAAAAAAAAAATCTTTCCAAACTACAAACTTTTTAATGGTAGTGTAACTAAAAAATATGTAGAAAATACAATTTACCAAAAGACACAAAAAGTTATTATGTTCGTATATACGTGTATTTCAGTGAAAAATGTATTTCCTGAGATTTGCCATGCGCATGGGAGCCCTGTAATAATTGCCTCAAACAATATATTTTAATTTTAATGTCATTAATACAATGAACTATTAATTAAAAACTTTTTCCAGCTGTTTCCCAGCTAACTGAGAAAAACCTGCACCCTCACAGAAGTTACATATCATCCAGCCAATCAGAACTTGGGATTTCTCTGGCTGTTGCTGGTTTTGTCTGCAGTATACTTCAGACAGTCTGTGAATGGTATGTGTTTAAGGCTGAGACTAACTGGAATCCAGATGTTTTTCATGCAAATCAAAGATCTGACTCAAGTTTCATAATTGGACTATTCAGATTTCAGCTATGTCCTTGGGAGTGTCAGAGTGCTCCATTATTCAGTGGGATGAATGAACGCAGTGACACGTCCCTGTTCAATAAGTTATTGAACCACAAATTCTTCCCAGGGTCTAAAAATATTAGAAGTGACCATGAAACTTTTAGTACAGGACAGTTTCTTCCTGTAACAGCACACACGATGTCTATTTTAGAAGGGGCATCGCACCTTAGGCTCGGGGGAAAAACCTCTCTCACACATCATTAAGCATACATAAAACATTACTTTTTGTGGACAAATGCTGACAGAACTTGCAAAATCTGCATCGCATGCTGTGAATGATTATTTTTTCCACTCCAAACAATCCCAGTTCTTTCCACTGAGGGTTATTGAATATTTTCAGCTTGGCAATGATTGAAAAAAATGACATCCCAAACTCCAAAATCAGGCCATTCTGACAGGCCCTGATAATATTGAATTATGGAGATATTTCAACATATTACTTTGAGAGAAATAATGTATTAATGTGTCTTCTGCATGTGTGTTTGATGGCAGGCAGCGGGACCCTAAGGGAGAGTGAGAGTCCATGGCCCGACACACGCTGTGATAAATTGCTCTCACTCCAGTGAGTGTTATTCATTGGTCAGAGGTTGGGAAGAAAAGCTTCAGTTATGGTTTCAAATGGTAATAATACCACCTGCCAGTACTTGTGGTATATAGGCAGTTGACACAACTTGTAATTTCTCTTAAGGCCATTTTCTCTTATATTTTCAACAATTTGTTGGACAGGAAACAGATTTTGACCATAAAAATAAAGCAATTTTAGCGGTTTCTAAAACATAGTTGTTGTTTTGCAGTATGAAATATATTGGACATATCTAAGTGTGTTTGTTTCCAAAAAGAACTGGTCATGAATTTACATATGACATACTTTGATATATATAACTTATATACACCTAACTTATTGCTCTAATGACCTCAAACTTTTTGAAGGGTAGTGTAAAGCTTTATGTTCATTTCCATGTCCATTTGTCAACTACCCATGCATGTACCATGATACTGAATGATTACCATATCCATGTACTATGTAATTTGCATGGTTCTTTATGGTATTTCCTTAGAATACCATGGTATTAACATGATACATGACCAAAAATGCACTGTAATACCAAGATACTTTTTGGTACTTTTATGCATTTCTGTTATGTTCTTCTAGTTTATCTAAAGAGCTCATCTACTGAACACTGCTCAACTACTATAAGACTAACCTATTTTAATCTACAACTGCACTACTCTATGGACTTTAAACCAGCTCTGACCTGTAAACATGTTTACAGATGCTGATGTACCCCGAGTCTGGGTTACTGCGATCGGCTGGACTGAACCTGTGGCGGCTGGTGTTGAGTCTGAGGTCAGTTGGACTGTGGGTGGTGTTATGGATGTAGTTATGGACATTGGTACAGTGGCAGGGTCAAGCGTAACTGCTAGTGTTTGCACTGAAAATGGAGAACAACATTATAGCCTGCTTTTTCATTTGGCAAATGAGTGAAGGTGCACTATGTAACTTTTTTCTAGTCTTTGAATTGATACTGATACTGAAAATAGTCCCCAGCTAGGTAACTTCCAATAAGCCTATTTTCAGGCGCTGTGTAATATCATTGCGCCTGCTGCACCCATGGTACGGCAGCAAAGTTCCTTGATTATTACGCCGGA